TCTGGGTAGTGCAGGACTTATATCATCAACGGTACTACCCTACATATACTATTCCCACCTTACTATCCTAAACCCATGTACCCAGTTATTATTGACTTTGGACAGTTAGTGTTCCAGCGGTCGTGAGTCGTGAGAGCCCTAAACCCTAAACCCCTAAACCCCTAAGGCCTAAACCCCTAACCCCTAAGCCCCCCAAACCCCAAAACCCCTAAACCCCGAAACCCTAAACCCTAAACCCCTATAAACCCTAACGGCTCTCAGTTCCCTCTCTTCGGAGGCCTTTGAGCAGCGCTCGGCGGAGACGCGGCAGCGCATCCGAGAAGACAGGCGGAGGCGATCTGGAGGGTTTAGGATTGAGGCTTTAGGGTTTAGGGGCCTCAGGGTTTAGGGTTTAGGGTTTAGTGTTTTAGGGTTCAGGATTGAGGCTTTAGGGTTTTAGGGTTTAGGGTTTAGGGTTTAGGGTCTAGGGTTTAGGATTTAGGATCTAGGGTTTGGGGTTTTGGGTTCAGGGCCTCAGGGTTTAGGGTTTAGGGCCTCAGGGTTTAGGGTTTAGGGCTCAGGGTTTAGGGATAGGGTTTAGGGCCTGCACCGAGCCTCTAGACTGGAGTAACCCTATAGAACTCTTTCGGGAAGTCTTAGATGTTGGCTAGTTATTAAGGCCCACACCCTGAACCCTTCTAGTAATCCTGAAAGAACCCTTGCAGGAACCCTTAAAGGAACCCTATTCAAAGCATTCATATAGGAGCCTCAATAATTACCTATATTGTGGTGGGGGTTCCTTCGTATAATTATGGTATAAAGGACCCCCCAAACCCTATTCTAATTATTGAGGCCCCTATGTTACCCAAACACCCGTAGAACCCTTCCCTTGTTTACGGGGACCTCACTCCAATTATGATAATAAGGTTCCTACACTTGAATCCTTATGAAGCCCAGGTAAAACCCTTAAAGAATTCCCTGACGGATACCAAAATATACCCCGCAGTGACTCAAAGGTCGCCTGCAATTGAAAATAACAAGATACCTGCACTGGGCCTCAACCCTAAACCGTAAACCCTAAACCCCTAAACGCTAAACCTTAAACCCTAAACCCACAAATCCTAAACCCCTAAACCCAGAAACCCTAAACCCTGACCCCTAAACCCTAAACCCTAAACCCTAAACCCCTGAACCCCTAAACCCTAAACCCCTAAACCCAAACCCTTAAAGCCCTAAACCCCTAAACCCCCTTCAAATCCCCCGTCGAAACCCCCTGAGAAACCGCCTAGAAACCCCTTAGAAACCGCAAGAAACCGCCCAGGAAACCCCCGGCAACCCACTTGAAACCCCCTAAACCCACAACCCCAAGCCCTGAATCTCTTTGTCAGGTTCGAGATGGCAACATATCTCAAGGATCCAGACCCCTGCGGTTTTTAGGGCTTTAGGGTTTAGTGTTTTGGGATTTAGGGTTTTGGGGTTTTGGGGTTTAGGGTTTTTGGTTTGGGGTTTCGGGTTTAATTTAGGGACCATAATAATTACCGGTACCGTTTCAGGGGTTCTTCATCGTATTTACAGCATAAAGGAGCCCAAAACCCTGTTCTAGTTATTGAGGCCCCTACATTAGGCTTTGGGGTTTGGGGTTTATGTCTTAAGGGCTTTGGGGTTTTGGATGTAGGGCTGAGGGTGTGGAGTTTAGGGTTTGTAGGCTTTACGGGTTTACGGGTGTTGGGTTTTTGGACTTGAGGGTTTTGGGTACCCAAGATCATTCAGAGTATGGGATTTGGGACCTAAAAACTTACTATTTCTGTGCTTGAAAGATCTGGGCAGAGCTTGTTGCAAGCTTTTTTAGGCTTTCGGGTGCTGGGGACTCCTTTATCAAGAGCTGTGAGGCTTTCCGGCTTGGGGTTTAGGGTTCAGGGTTTAGGGTTTCGTTTTCGGGTTTTCAAAGTTTAAGGTTTGGGCATCGTCCTTATGTTTTAATGCCTTCAGGCTCAGTCTTTTGAGATGGCCTCAAGTACTCAACCTTAAACCCTGAACCCTAAATTTTAAACCCTAGACCTCTACGGAACCCTAAACCCTGAGCCTTCATCCCTAAATCTCGACCCTAAACCCTAAACCTCTATACCCTTAAACCCTACTGGGAGGGTCGGGGGACTTAGTAAGTAGGTAATAAGTAGAGTTATAAATGCCCTAAAAGGGACCGTAATTGGTGTTATGATACTTATAAGTCTATAGAATAGCTACTTACTGCGTGCCCCGACCCTCCAAGTAAAGCCCTATAATTCTCTACGCCCTAGATGCAAAATTCTAAACCCGGCGGAAGCGCCAGCTGCGCCAAGAACCCCCTAACCTTGAGCACCAGGCACAAGCCCTAAGGGCCCATGTACCAAAATACGTTCCTTTAAGGGGTTCCTCTAGGGTTTAGATTTTAGGGCTTAGGCTGCTTTCAAGGAGCCCTAAGACCCTTTAAGGGTTATATATCAGTTGATAAGGCTCACAGGGTTCCTTTAAGTGTTCTATAATGCGGTTCACTTCTATGGCTCCTTCGAGGGTATAG